CGTAGGCTTCCGCGGCTCGAATTCATGACTTCTTGGCTGTCCGGGTGACGCCGCGTCGTTGGCTGAGGGGCAGACGTTTCGCCTGTCATATCCCAGGCTTCTTCAGGGTAGTGGACAACCAAGAAGTCCATAAACCATCTAGTTCAGGCAGTTGAAGTCGTGGGCAAGGTAACTAGCTTCGAAACGTTCACTGGCACTGCCTCTAGAGAAACCGGCGCGATACAAGTGTTGTTCAAGTTGCTCCAGGATGGGGATATATCACTGGCCTCAAGGCAGTTATTTGGAGAATTCAGTTCGGAATTTTCAGCCCATTTTGACAGAAAACAGGAGTTTTTGATAACATTACAGGACTTTTTTTTAGGTACACGTACTCATAAATACATGAATGTGAACAAATCGCCGCTAATGTAATTATTAACTATAATTATCATTCATGCTAGAGTAGCCAAAAAATTACATGTTTGTACCTTTGAAAACCACGACAAAAGAGAGCATTTAGCACTATCCCTACTAAAAGTTTTAAAAAGCCATTTTGTTATAAATTCAGCCATTTATAACAAAATCATGTTTTTGTAATTTTTAAAAATTGCGCATATTGCACGCAATATTGCGCGAAAACTACTAAATGTTTCAAAAAATGTACATGACCTTAACAAAAGGACTTATTACGGACAGCAAATTTCATTTTAAGGGAAAATATCTTCAATTTTGCAGTTTTAGGAAAACGTCGAAAAAATTCGACCTATGTTACCTTTATAAGTGTATTTTAGTATTTTTACAAGAAATTTAAAGAAAAAATTTGGATCCAATTATGAGAAAATTTTGAATGTTCCCAGGGCTTCATGCACAGTACCCCCAAAAACAAATGGATGTTTTTGAAAATCACAGTGCTTTGACTCAGACCAGACCGACAAGGGTTTATTCGGTTAGGAAAAAATCGCACGCATAGTTCAGGCGTTAGTGTTATTCACATAGTGTTCCAGACAGACGGACGGACGTTTTGCCGTCACTAGATTTTTCGGTATCAAGAACCTACAGAACATGAATTCTGGCTACGCCACGTGTTAGAAACTTTTTTTTCTAAACTTAGCAACTGGATTTTTGTACTTTTTCGTTACCAAGACTTGGCAATGAGCGTTTTTCTCCCGAAAATTAAGTTTTTTCGCGCAGCATTACATACCTTTTCCTACACTCGGTATATTCCTTCGTATATACGTACGCATACGAGAAAGTTATCATACGAGGGAAATCTTAAAGGGAAGGCTCTTTGGATACACATTTATGTAATTGGCAAAACTGAATACATTATATGGTTATTTTATCAGCATTTCATGTGAATTTTAAAAAATAATCCCTCCCAACAAAGCCCCTCCTTCCATAAATAAATGCAAAAACAATCAACGGAAAGGCAAATAATAATAATAAACTTTAAACAATTTAAATGGACTTTTTCAACCCTGGCAATGACTTACAACAAGTGATCAAAATTAAAATGCTTGACACATGGGTTTGTTGTTTGATGGTATCATTGTAATACATTAATTCCTGTTAATTGATGAAAAATGCCGCCCACAGGTATCTACAAGACTGCCCTCTGTCTCATTAAATTTGTCAAACACAAAATCATAATTAAAGAAAATTAATAATTTTTTATCAAAGTTCTACTTTTATGGCCAGAGAATGGTTATAAATACACAAACAATGTGATCAAGCTCCTCAATGTAAGATTCACTTCACTGTAGTTGCTGGATAACATTGTTTATGTTCTTATAATTTTCACAATACAAAAACTAACATCAATGATCAAGCATTTTCTAAGTGGTTACATGAACCAGGAAAGTTTTTGAAACCAATAACTAGAGCCAAGTATCTTTCTCCAATTACCAACCAATTATGTTTCTCACTTCTTAATAGCCATCCGATTTTATATTATAGACAACCAATTCAGTAATTTTTGAGCAAATGTGTGAATCCTAAAAACAGCTAAAATGAGTTATGATCCTAAAAGGGGCTACCCGATGGTAGGTTAATAGGGTTTCATGCAAGTAAATACCAGGGACAATAGATGTCGTCAAAGTTCCTTCAAAAAGTAAAAGTAATCCTGGTTTCATAAAGACAAAGTCAACTGAAGTTCTTCTAGGAGAAGAACTATCTGAAAAATTACCTTTTAGATTGATCAGTGCCATCTACGAAGTAAGCACCATAGATTTCTTGTTGGGTTAGATGAACATTTTCTCATTTCCGGGGTGCAATGAAATAAATTTAAGTCCTTCATATTATATATTAGATGTACGATTCATATTAGATTATATTTGCTTGTTCATTGCAACACCACATCTTAATGTTAATTTTTGGTTTGTAAGCTTATTTTCAAAGGAATATTTACGAAGCTGAAAATTTTTTATAATGTTTTGTGTGTTTTTAAAGAACCAATTTGCTCAAATTCAGAAGATGAAACTGAAAGAAATGAGTAATTTAAATCTTACTTTTGGCAATTATTGTTCAGCCTGATACTACTTTAATTTAAAAAATATAAAACTAAAATAGGCTAAATCAACTATCCAAAAGCCTAAAATTATGTTTATAAAACACCCAAAATGCATTCATAAGTGTTGTTTTCAACAGATTCCATTTCATCTCACAAAGACATGGTTTCGAGACAGCTTGAATATGTGCATCTCACAATATGCAAGTCACAGTAAATTTTATATTCTAGAGTTAAGATTTACATATTCCAACTCATTATTAATGCACGCATGAAAATGGCTAAAAAGCATTTAGACAAAGTGTTCCAATAGACAATTTATGTTTTAAAAGACACTTTGTATTAAAAGCAGAATGTCTAATTTAAAAGTTTGGTCAACATAATGTGTATTCAAATTGTTTTGGGTTTTTTAAGTCTCTCAATGGGAGCAACTTTCGCTGCTAAAGGCTACTAATAATATATCAAATTAGTCTCGAATCTACACGCGAACGACCTACTCTCCCTTGTGTTTCACTCAAGGAATCTCAGATGCAAGAAGTTTTTTTTATGTCTTATTAGAATTCTACTCTTTAATAAAAAAAAAATATTTCGTTCTCTCAACTCATTCTTCCCCATTGGATGCAAAAGGTAAGTATTTTGATATATATGGGGAGGGCAAATTTGAAAGAGGTCCCCGTGAGTACGCGCGCTTCTTTTCTCTGGGTGCCCCAGCGTTCATCTAAAGCTGATATATGAATGTGTATTATATAATATTTAGTTTTTTAGAATAGATGACGTGTATTTCCAATGCAGACCGGCAGCGTCCGCCTTCGCTGCAGGCAGGAGAGGCCGGCGCCCGGGCGGTGGCTCCTCGGCCTCTCTCCAGCTTTTTCCGAACAGGATAAATCAAGTTTACGCTTAAAAGTGTAAAACTTTGACATGTCTGCTTCGTTACGACATTTCTAGTATAAGACTGCCTCGCAAATTAGGTGAAAGAGCAGATTTCGTATTCGCATTTAAAAACTTAATATCTTTTCCGATTAAATAAAAAGGGGGGGGGAGGAAAATATCAACAAACTATGGGGAGTTCAACGCGTAAGACTGCGCCAAGGGTTTTTAAAAAACAGAAAACACACTCCAAATTTTGGAGAAACAACTTAAAAGTACTGGCAATTGTCACTAGCATTTTTCGTTGCACGAACGTAGGGAGTGAACACCAACTACACCACGAAAGTAGTAGTTTAAAGATTTTTATTTAAGACGCTTAAGTGTAAGTAAAGCGAATAGTTTCGAATTTACGACAGCACAAACGATAAATGTATATTACATTTTATAACCAACATAATTTCGTAAGAGGAGGGAATGAAAACTATTAGTTTATATTATTATTATAATAATAATATTATTATTATTATTATTACTACTACTACTATTTATCTACGAGTTTGGTTGGTCTCACTCACACGAACTGAAAATGTACCTTGCAGTAATTTATGAATTTACACGACTATTTATACAATCACTCATCCTCTCAACAAGATTGAGATCTTTCAGAAAAATCATTAAAAGGCAATTTAAGAAATGTTACAAACAAGTGCAATCCACAGAATTTTTGGAACATGCAATGTCAAATCATGATACAATGGTACGCTAAAATCCTCCTGCCAGCACATTCCTTGAACTTTACAAGTTGATTCTCATGAGGATGCTTATATTTAATAATTCAAACTTCAATTACGTAAACATTTTAAAATAATCTAAAGGCAGTGTACACACAAATACACCCATTCATACCAATTAGGATGGTTGAATAAACTTCTGAATTTTGAACATCTAATACATTATTTCAGGGATACTTAATACTACACATGCCTGACCAACCTATACAATAATTAATTTCCCCAAAAAATTATTTTAATCCTCAATTTCTACTTCACAACCTAACCTGCTGTTCGTTTTATGCAGTGTGCAATCTACTATTATTTTATCCACTATCAATACACACTTTGACACTTATATTAATTGGACAAGGAAAGGCCAAATACACAATTACTATACTACATAACCTATGAAAGGTTAGTAAACTGAAAATCTACAAAACTGTTGAATTACTGTCTCCACTAAAATGGCAAATACCAGTAAAATATCAAATTACCAAACAATTTTCAGCTAAGGCTATTATAACAAAATTAACTGTCCCTTTAAACCTTTTCCTTGGCCACTGTTAAACAAATATCAAATGAAAATGAATACGAGAACTTCGATTATATGCACAATCAATTTCAAGTCTTTGTTACGTTATTACCATAACTATTAAGTCACTTTAATAATTTCATATGAATTTAAGCAAAAGTATTATATATAATAATCTGGAGAGGAAACTGATCATCACCCTCTTATTTTGTGCAGGGCTCAGGTGTACATTTCATGTTGACAACACACCCCACAAATTTACATTACTTCAATATTAAAGAGAAAAAACCAACAAAACATTTAAAGTGCAAAGTAAAAGCACTAAGAATTGTGTGGTTCTTACCGTATGTGGGGAATTCCAACTCCACCATTCAAGATCTTGTACAATTTGCTTTCATAAAGTAGTTGTGGATGTCTTGCTCTCATATTCTCTAACTTCACAGCTACTTCCTAAAAATATAAAAAATATTCGTAAGTTTTCACAACTTTAACATAACTAGCTATGAACAAAATATAACTATTGATAATCCACAAAGAATACTCTATTCACAAGCTTATGTCAAATTATCCATGTAACTGGTGAACTATAACCTACTTCTTGCATTCACTCGAAGCGCTACATAGCGATTTTTACAGAAATAATTACAATGCCATGAGCAAGTGTATAGGAACGTAATCAATCCATGAGAACTCTGGTAAGATAATACTACTTCTACATTTCTGAGTTGCAAACGATTTTCGTAATGGCTGCCTTAACATTCATATGAAACCTTGGACAACACAGACAATGAATTTGTAACACAAACTTGCAATAGATTCGTTCAAATATAAGCATGCTTATAATACACACATCAAATTAACAAATATATATTTTATAAATTATAGAATTACCTCTCCATTTGTTACGTTGATTCCAAGATATATATCACCAAAGGAACCACTACCGATTTTTCGCACTAAACGATATTTTCCCCCAACAATGAATTCCTTAATGTTAGCTGCAGTTGCCATTATTATAGTTTTTATATGTAAGGAAGTGAGAAATTTAGAAAGGTAAAAATAACAAAATGAAATCAATAATCACACACTAGCACTTCCACCAACACGCCGACATCTCCCTTCCAATGACTGACGTAGGAACAAAGCAACGCATAGCATTCCCTGGTTGCGCACACTACGCTAGTCAGTTATTAACTAAACATAATTCTTTAAGATTTACAATTCTAAACCTAGTGATTTTCTTCTTTTTAAATTTTAGTGGTATTTTCTTCAGTCGCTTTATCTTAGAAAATACTACATTATAGAATTATTTATTACATTAAAATTGGGATAATACGAGAGACACCTGGAGGTAGTTTTGTGTAACTACTTGTTTGACCTGAATGAAATATGATCTTCAATGAGCTTTAGTAATATTGAATGTAGAGCGCAGCTAAGTGTAAGGAAGTTGAGTAATATAATTTAGTTTTAGGAAAATTGAAATCGTCTTCGTTGTCTGTTATACGAATAATACTTTCTCAGATAGTAAAATTTGGTTGGCTAAACAAGTTTGAATCATTACTTTATTTTATTCTCTTGGTTTACATAATGCTTTTAGAATTTAATATATGTTTCTTTGGCACTATTCTGTTCAAGAAGCAGAAGATAGACTTATTTTGCAAATTGTGGAGCCTGGAGAAAGTTTTCTCTTTTTTCTGACGGATGTTCTTTTTATAGTGTGATCAGAACATAAGTTCAAGGCAGGTTAAATGGAAGCGCAGATCTACTTTGACTTCATTCGATGGCAGTTCAGAACGCTCGTGTGTTCTGGTGGGGGACGTGAGCAGACGTGGGGGAGGGTAATATACTCTCTGAGGGTAACCTAAGAGCTGGGGGAGAGAAGTGGTGAATTGGGTGTACCGGGTTAATTTTGTACCATTAAGGTGTGATTTGACGGTTTTGAAGTTAGTGCGTTTTTTTAGAACGCAAATTGAATCTTAGTCTCTGCACGGGACTAAACATTTCTTGCAATGGCCTTTTTGACTGGAAGTACAGTTCGATTATTGAGTCGTGTAAGTTCTAAATCATTTTTGCGATTTAGCCTTCAATGTAATTTTTTCTTCTTTATATTATTAGTGTACATTACGCTAACTCCTGAATATCAATATGGTTATTGTGGGTACTCTGTACTGAATAAAGAATGACTTAAAAATAATAGATAAAGGAATGTTATATTTAGTTCATAATTCATGGAAATTTTGGTTTTAAGGTGGTTCAACCAGTTCCAGCTGTATGCAATCGATGTATGCACCAGTCGTCGTCCAACAATGCCATTGTAAGCATTTGGGTTTAGATTCTTGTCCTTTTTACTATATGGCTCTGTAACTTTCCTTACTTTTTCTTTACTTCTGCCAAGAATATGGGCCTTCAAATATCTGATATAATATTAATTTAGTTTAATTTTATTAAAATGTTTAAAAAGAATCTGAATGGTATTCAATCAGATTCTGGAGTCATTCTAGATGCACTCAGTAAACTTAAAATATCCAATTGTAAGAATGTAATATAATTCTGTATTCTTTACCAACTACTAATAAAAGTAATCAAAGCAGTGAAGAAAGTGATTTTTTCATTTTCATTATTGTGAATACCTTTTGTGATTAATTTATTTAATACAGCATAGTGAATAACGTCAGGTTGTTAAGAATGGAAACGTCTTGTGTAATGTAGGTCATTTTCACTTTTTTAAACTATTTTTTTCTATTGACTGTGCATATCCAGGAAGATAAAGTGAGTAATTATTGCCCCTTCTACACATGTCTGGAATGCATGTCAGTATTTGTATTGACTTGTAAAATTATTTTAAGGTGTAATAGTTTGAATTGATTAATGTTCTTGACTTTCATTTAAACAAGACCACTGTTTTATTGAAAGATATTTTTCTTTAGTTCAGTATTGCTGGCCAAATATACCAATTTAACACTGTAGGATAATTAATGTGAGTTCATTCTCTCTCTTGGCAACATTTGAAATTATACCTGTCAAAAAATTGTTTCAAATAACTGAATTAATTATTTTTTCTCCCCTTTTGTGTAAATTATTTTTAAATTTCTCATCTTAATTATATCTATTTTTATCATTTATCTAATATTTTCATTTCATTTTACTCTCTAGCTCTTCCTAACAGTGCATGGTTTCCTTCAGTGTGTGTGCTAGTAGTCTCTAGTTAGAAAATATACTTCATTCATTTCTTCCTTCTAGAATCAGGATTTTATGATTAAATCTACTGACATTTTTTTCTGTAATCGTAATTCAAAAACTGCAAATGTATGTGTTGACAAACTAATGGTCTGGTACCAGGGGCAGATCCAGCCGATCATTTTGGTGGGGGCTATCATAGATTGCCTGTTAAATATCTGATTTTATATTGTATATTATTTTTGTAATGTATGTATGATACTGTACAATATTACTGTTTAAATAATTACGTAATTAAAATATAAATGCATATTTAAATTAATTTTGCCGAATAAAGGAAGGTAAACAACAACCCTCGGCCTTTTGATGGAGGGCATTGCCGTCCCTCTGTATCTGCCTCTGTCTCATACTCAGCAATTCAGATTTGCATTGTGAATGGAAAAAAACTATGCATAATGAAACACTGTACAATTTGGTCGTTTTTGTTATACAATTGGTCAAGCTAAATTTCATAAAGGTGAGCTTCTAACACATAGTAATGAATTGTACTTTGTTTGCAGCAAGCACCTGTCTCAAAACCTGAAGGCAGAACATCTTGTACACTCATCCCTGGTGATGGTGTGGGTCCTGAGTTAGTTTATTCTGTTCAAGAGGTGTTTAAAGTAAGATTTTTTTTAATGCTTGTTCATAATTTGGTTTGGTGTCATGTAATCATGCGAGACTAAACGTTAATACTTGTAATTAAAGCAAAAATGGCAAATTTTAACCATATGTATATCTTCAGTGACAACGAATTTTATTTCTTTAATTCAAATGCCCACTTTTAATTGAATATTCCTTCTTCTTTATTGTAGAGTTGTGTGGACATAAGTATTTATGATATTTATTGCTTAGTCATATCCCTGGAAGGAGCATAGTTGGTAACTTCTTCCTTGCCCTCCTGTTGCCACTTACGGGTCAAGCAGACACCAGGAAAGTGCCTCTGTAGTCGCATATCTCTCATTCCTTGGCATTCCTCAGGGTGTAATGCCCTGCATTTTCAGACAGCCACGTACATACTGACTCAGGCTGCAGAAGCCTACGCTACCAATACAGTGTGTGATTATATTTGCAAATAGTTTAAATATCATATTTATTAAACTCTATCTCTGTAATTGTTTTTCAAACTGGCATCTCAAGCTTCCTTCATTCTCTTGGAATACTACATGTTGTCTCAACATATTTATTATATTCAGTTGTATATTACTTTTGTTTTGTTTTTAGAGAGTTCTACATTACTTTTGTTTACTCCTGCTGCTTTGTTACTCTTAAGATAGTTTCCATCTCTTCATTTTATTCGAAGATAATTATATTATTGGGTCAGAAGTGAAGACTAGTTTTATCATTTATGTGATTTTTTTACATTACAATACATTTCCCGGTCTTCTGTACCAATATTATTTAATGTTTTTGTTTCTCTCTCTAAAGTAATTAGGTATTTTTAAAGCTTTGAATACCATAAATTGTGTACTAAGTTTATTGTATTTTATATGATTTATGTAATTGTCACAATTTGGAACAAGTTTCTTAAGGTTTTTCTATTCTCATTTAGTAGATCTTCACTCCAAGGCTTCTTTCCCCAATTGGCCCAAGAGTTCTTTTCACACTCTGGCATTAAAATCTCCACACAACATAACATGATCATTCTTATTTATTCCATTTAGGGACTTGTATACTGATAAATAAAATAATTAATTTCTTCTTTGCCTTCTTTTGGAATTATTTACTGAATATTGACAGATATTCCAGCAATATTTTTAATCTTAAATTCATAATTCTATCATTAACAAAATTATAGCAATGTGTCCTATGTTTTCTTTATTAAAAAGCATGTAAGACCGAAAAAATGGCTCATTCCTGTCAACGTGATAAAAGTTCCAATATGTAGTAAATTACTTCTTCTAACATGTTATGTAGATAGATTTCACGAATTGTGGATCTTTGATACCAAAAATGTTAAATCCCCTCCAACATGTCCACTTCTGTATGTCCATAGTCTGTGAATTACACTAGCACGTGCTACTAACACCAAAATTAATTTTTCCTCATCAATGTGGCTTGACTCAAAGCTCTAGGGTTTTGAATTGCATTCTTTAATTTTTGAGGGTTCTTTACATGAAACTTACTTTTGAGGATACTTTACTTTACCTTTGGTACATTTTAAAAATTGTCACAAATATGACTTCAAATTTTTTCTTTAAATTTCTGGTAAGTGTACAGAAAAATGTATTTCTAAAAATGGCATAGGTCCCGTTTTCACTGTGAACCTAGGATTTTCAAAAATTAAATAAAGTGTGAATGTTTTTCAGTCTTAGTATATCTGCATTATTAAAGATAGTGATTTTTTTCTTCAAGTGAAATTTCTTCTCAATAATTACTTATTTATTTTAATAAACAGAATGAACCTTTTATAAAAACAAAAAATACATAATGTCAGAAATATAAAAGTTCAAAATAATAAAAATTAAAATAGTTATAGTTATAAAAAGGATAAGTGTTGTAAAAAGAACACTTAAGTTTTCTTTCAAAACAATTAGGAGTGAAAAAAAAATTTAAGACGGCTACAAACCTTTTAAAAGTTGTGGATGAAAAAATCAATCCTATTGGTACAGTAATTGGCAGTTCTTGGTAAACTGTTGAAGACGTCATAATAGCTGTAGTTAGAAGATATATTCACTCAGAAGCAGACAAGGTTTTATCGTTCTAAAGTAATCTAATTAGGGACATGAAGAAAGATAAAAGAAACAAGTTCTGGGCTATCGATGAGACCATGTAGTATTTTATGAAAGAAAATTAAATCCTAGAATTTCCTCTTATCCAGAAGAGTTTTCAATTTAAATAAATTGTAGAATTTGAAAACATCATAGTCAAATCTGTGAATTGGTGTCCCATTTCTGAAAGTCAGGTATCGTCGAAATTTACGTTATAGTTTTTCCAAATGATCGATAGCTAAATTACTGTAAGGTGACCAAATGACAGAGGCATATTCTAAAATAGAACAAATCTTATAACAAGAACTTTTTTAAAGAATAGGTTGTCGATGGACTGGAAGGAAATGGTATTGCCCAAAATCAGACCCAGGGAACATAGAGCTTTATTGACTGTAATAGTAGTATATTAAAATCAAGTTTAGAGTCAAAAATCACTCCAAGTGTTCTTTCATTTATAACATGTACATTTGTTTGAAACTTTTAAGTTTTTAATAAATTTTGATTGAAATATGAGCAAATTTAAAAAAAATTAAAAATAAGATTTACTCGAAAACTGTTCCAAATTTTTGCTTCAAACTTCTAGTAAGAACAGTGCTAAATGTACTGTATAAGATATCATTAACCCCATTTTGCTATATTTGTTTGATTTTTCACAAAATTAAATAAATATAATTATTTTAAAATATCTTTCACATTGTTAAAATTTACATTCTTTCATTGTTTAATGCATTTTTAAACACATGAGCTTCAAAGTATCTCCAATGATGGTTTTTTAATAATCCATAAGTTTTTGAGTAAACGGGAACAAAAAATGAATTGGAAATTTTTGGAAACGTTCAAACTAAAATTTCCCAAACTATGAAAAATGTTCCCCCAAAATTCTCACAATGAAAACGCTGAAATTCTCTGATATTCCGAAAGCATGATTTTGGAATATATTCAAGCCCAAATAATCTGAAAATGTTTTTTTAATCACAATAGAATAAAAAATATCTATTGCACAAAAACAAAAAGTAAATCTTCGCATCAATTGTTAAGTTTTATAAATAGTTTGTGTTGTTGCATTTTGTCAATTTTTTGTAATGTAAATATTATCGTAAATGTGAAATTTTTGTATTAGCTCACAAATTTTCAAATGGTTTAGATTGAAATTTGTCACAATGACAAAAGTGTTATTAATGTTTTTGTTTCGATTAGAATGAACATTGCAGCATATGCAGTTTTGGAGATAATTTGATGTACTTCAATAAAGGGATTAATCAGTCGAATATTGTTAGAATAATACAGTGTGGTATGTCATCATGGTGCACTATTTATATACTTATTGTATTTAAAGAACATAATGTAATGTTTTATTATTGCAATGAGTCCGTATAATGTTTTTGGTTCAAAAAAAAATTTTGCCATTCTTTTCATTCCTATGTCAGCATTTAAATTATCCAAAGGAAATAAGCTAAAAGGTAAGAGGTTGAAAAATTTAACAAAACAATAGCAGCTCACAGTGAATGATGAAGCTACATTTTGCGTTCATCATTTTAAGTGGATTGAAGTTAAAATTTCTCTTTTAGTGATGATATTGATTTCCTACAGGAAAGACTATGCCATTCTGTAGCGCCACTAGTATAATTAAGTGTTATATGATGTAACTAAGGTACACTAAGGGCAACAAATACCACAAGCATGTTTGTTGTCAGTGTTTTTGTTATTACATGATTTATAACTCGTAAACTTAAATTGTAAAGTGCTGATTTTTTTCTTTTCTCTCTCCACCTGTGGATTTCAATTGACTTGAAGGACCGTCCTTCAATTCTTGATATAATTTTGGAACTTTCTCGTTGAATTTTTGTTAATATTTTGCTGAAAATGTGTTTATTGAGAGTTCAAAAAATTATTTCATGTTTCAGGCAGCAGGGGTACCAGTGGACTTTGAACCTTTTTTCTTCTCTGAAGTTAATCCCACATTGAGTGCTCCCCTTGATGATGTTGCTAATTCAATTGCTAAAAATGGCATTTGTTTGAAGGTACAATATACATCATTATCATAAACTATTAACATAATAATTGTTTTTTTAAGAAGTGAAATGGATCTCTTCAATTTTGTGTGTAGTTATTATGTAGAAGTTTTTTAATAACCTTTAATTGTAAAATTTGTTTATATTCACAGGGCATTTTAGCTACTCCTGATTATAGTCATACTGGTGAACTGCAGACCCTAAACATGAAGTTGCGCCGTGCCTTAGATCTCTATGCCAATGTCGTTCATGTTAAATCACTTCCTGGTGTGAAGTGCAGACATCAGAATGTGGACACTGTCATTATTCGAGAGCAAACAGAGGGTGAATACTCTGCTCTGGAGCATGAGAGTGT